GCTGCTGACTTGGTACATTTGGGGGAGATAATCTTTGTAAAATGATTTGATAGGATAGGTTATAATTAAAAGTGCACATAACATAGGGATTCCATTTTGAAATTTCATTACATTTCCAAGTGAACAATTATCATGAGCTGCTTTTCATATAATACATGGACATTTATTGTCTATCAGACAGTATTATTTTTAGTGGCATTTGTGATTCTTTTTTCTTTTTTAAATGGTTGGTAAATTAATCCTAAAGCAGAAATTAGTACTGTAAGCCTGAATAACAATGATCTAACACTGGGTAGGGCAGTTTGTGGGGGGGAGGGTGTGTGCTGTGGGGAGAGAATAGGTGAGAAGGAATAACTATATCCTGAGTATTTTTCTGAAACCAAGATAGATTGGGATAAGGACACTCTAGAGGCAATTGTCAGTGGCTGTTTTAAAAGTTGAATAGTGGCTATTAGATAAAATCCTCTGTATTGGATTCCTAAAAAACAGTGTTTCGTGAAAGCCTATAGAGAATATTAGAACAATATTCTACCTTAGAGAGAAAAAGATAGGGAAATCCATCATACCAGCTCTTCCCTGTCAGAGCAGATACCATCTAGAATAAAGGCAATCCTAGAGCTCAGAAACAGTGCCAGTAATGTTAACTGAATTGAACTGCTAAGATAATCTATTATTATTACTGGGATGATACCAATTCCACAAAGTTCATTCTTACCACTGTGCTTTGGGGCACGCTGACCATTCCCTGAGGTTTCAGACTAATAAGCTGGCAAGAATCCAATTTTTAACATTCGCTACATCACTATACGATGGAAAAACATTGAATTTCTGGTTGACTTGTAAAGATAGTAGTTTTTCATTTATGTGCACATTTGTTAGCAAATTTAGCTAAGAGCAATATAGCTAATTGACCAAATGATGAGTAATGTAACTGAGCCATGACCTCTGGCACAGTAGAATTTTAAAAGAATGATTATTCTGTTTCTCAGGTGAAATCCTGAGATTGGCTACAGCCTCAATACCAGCACATTATTTGATGAGGGGATATAATGAACAACTAGAGAAAAAAGGGCTTCTTTTGAGAAAGAAGAGTTCTCTGAGCATTGGCCTTAGAGACATCTTTTTCATCTAAAGCCAAGACATCCACGAACCATCAAGTCAGGGAGAAGATTCAGAGGGCAACAAAACAGAGGATTTGAGAAGACGAGTGAGCCCCTTTGCAAAGACCTTAGCAGAAAGCCTACACATCAAAAGAAGGCAAGTCTAGACTCACTGCTATTGCATATATTGCATAACAGAACATTATAAAGTCTGTAAGGGAAAAGTCTTTAAATTTTATAAACTCTGAACATTTCCAATAGAAACTAGAAATGCTCCTGAAGAGACCATCAGTTCTGATAAAAGTAGTACTTCCTGTGTGACCATGTGTGTGTGCCAGAAAGGAGCATCTGTGCCTTCTATTGAGATCATTCATTTCAGTTATTCATTCATTTTGGTTATTCTCACTCCCTTTCCCAAGGCTGAGTGGAAGATTAGTCTTTCATCAAAGAACAATCAAGCCCTTACAGGGGGCAATTTAAAGGCTTCAACCAGGATTTGTATTACCAAGGGGGCAGCTACTGGGAGGGTTATAACCAGGCAGTGGCTCAGTTCTGACTTTTGGCAGGTCTAAGAAGGCATGAAATAGAAGAGGGAAAGCAGCAAGAGATAAAAATGCTTTTAGGAGGGACACATACTATTCACTGTGTCATCCTAGGAGGTGCCATCTATATATGCCACTGTGTGATTGGCATCTGGGGAATAAGACAATGAATGTCTCCATCTGGAGAGAGAGGAAGATTTGCAAACTAGGGGGACAATTAAGGAAATGTTTTTCTTCCGTATAGTTTAATTCAAAAAGAATTAATACAAGGAGCTAGTACTACAGTCCCCGTTTTACAGATGTGGGAATGGTGGCGCAAAAAGGTAACATAGGACAAACTAGTCCCGGGAAGTTTATCTCCCCTTTTCCTTATCTACCACCAAGTAATCCCCCTTTTTTCAGGCATTGAGTGGATTCCTGTGCCCAAGATGACCGCCCCTTCTCCAACTCCAGTAACACTCAACCTACACCTGCCTTCCAGGATCATAGTCTATATCTCATCCTTCTAAATTTCATCTGCCCTATAGCTCAATCTTGCCCTCTAGCTGCCTCCTCACACTAGTAGCTAAATACTTGATTTTTTAAAATCGTTACATGAATATAAATGTGTGATAACTGGGCATTAAAATTTCCTTATCCTTTTCTATTTTGTCCTCCCCTGCCTTTGCCTTTTCTTATTTTTTTGTAAATTTATTAATAAACTTAGTGAAGAGCCCAAAATTGAGATAAACAGTATAGGTAGGTAGGTAGGTAAGTATGTAGATAGATACATGTGTGCATACATATATATATTGTTGTGGACTGAATCATGTCCCCCAAATTTCTTATGTTAAGCCCTAACTGCCAATGAGATTGTACTTGGAGATAAGACTTTTTTAGGGGGGTAATGAACATTAAATGAGGTCATGAGAGTGGGGCCCTAATCCAATAGGACTAGTATCCTCATAAGAAGAAGAGACCCCAGGGATCCCTGGGTGGCTCAGCAGTTCAGCGCCTGCCTTCAGTCCAGGGAGTCCCGGGATCATGCTTCCTGTGTGGAGCCTGCTTCTACCTCTCAATGTATGTGTGTGTGTGTGTGTGTGTGTGTGTGTGTGCATGTGTGTCTCTCATGAATAAATAAATAAAATCTTTAAAAAAAAAAAAAAGAAGAGACACCAAAATCTTTTTCCATGCATGCACACACCCACACACAGAGGAAAGGCCATGTGAGGACATAGCAAGAAGTCAGCGGTCTCCAAGCCAGGAACAGGGGCCTCCCCAGAAACCAACCCTGATGACATCTCAGTCTAGAGCTTTCTAGCCTCTAGAACTGTGAGAAAATAAATTTCTGTTGCTTAAGCACCCAGCCTGTGGTTTTGCTATGGCTGCCAAAGCAGATGAATTCCCATGCTTTATGGAACATTTTACTATCCTGGACACTGTGAGTAGAGCATCCTGAGTGAATCTTACAGCAAATGCTATGGTAGAAGGAGTACTGGACAGAAGTAGAACGCCCAGATGCAGTCAGGTACCAGTTCTGCCACTTTCTATGCATATGAACGTGACCGTGACTTTACCCCTATGAGACTGCATTCTCACACCTGTAAAAGACTAGATTCTTTCTCAAGGCCCTCACAGTTTGGGAATTCTGGTTATCAATACTCAGGCAACGGCAGTGGGGATAATTTATTACATATCACAAATCATCGGTTTTTCTTAGAATTGTAGGTCTGACACATTACAAGAGTTGAAACCCACACAATAACCAGAGAAAAAACATGTATAAGTTCCCTTATTTCTGTACTTCTGTGTTTTGGTAGTTGAGATACTTGTCAGTGTGCCAGGGAGTACTAGTAGCCACTGTAAAAATAGGACTCCTTTTCCAGGAATGTCAATTTCATAAAAATTTGGGGAGAAGAAAATGTGGACACAAAGCAAGTAATACAAGTTCTGCGTAAAATTTTAAATCAATGCACTGTAGAAAAAGCTCAAACTTCTGGTGGGCATATTACTCATATGCTCAATCCCTACTCTTTCTCTTCCTTTAGGAGCATTTTGTTGGAAAACTTTATAAAACAAATACTGCAACAGATAAATCTTACTAATTAGAAAAGGAGCCAATTTAGATGGGATTTCAGATTTACATGCTAGTAGATCATATTTACAAGTAGATTAATAGAAAAAATGTATTCTATAGTCCCATCTCTATCCCCAGACAGGCAACTCTCAAAAGTACGCATTTCATCAAAAGGAAGGGAGTTTGGGGATTTCGGTGGGCTCAGGGAACATTGAATGTAACTCACAATACAACTCTTCAAGAAGGTCATTGCAGGGACATCATAGTATATAAGATGCCGATTTACATTTCCTTTTCTGGTTTCCCCTTGGTCTTGGTAAGACTGTCAGACAATACTATTGTCCCTTAGCCAAGGGTGAATATATGACCCAAGTTAGGCCAACTGGTCTCTCCTTCTGATGATATGAATGTTGAGAAGAGGGAAGCTAACACATAATAGTGGAGGTTCTTCATTCTGCACCGAAAAGGTTGAAGAAGCTAAGAGCCTCTCCAACATAGTGTTCTTTCTGGGACCCTGGAGCAGTTCCAACCCTGTTCTTTCCAGATTCTGCAGCTTTTCCTTTGATTCTGTGAGCAAGTCCCATTCTTTCCAATACTTTCTTTCTTGCTTAAGTGGGAGTCCAAAGCCTGTAGTGTAGGCCTGTAGGCACCAGCTTCATACACAAAAGTCATCACCTTACATGATAAAATGAACAACTCCATTTGCAGGAAGCTAACCAGATGGCAATTTTATTTGGCATTATTTGTGTAGATTTCAGTATCAAATACAAGTTACTTTTTAAGTGGAAGGAATCTTACATATTTTTACCATTATCTCTTTCTCCTTTCCTCCCCACCTCAACTTTCATTTTATTCTTTAAAAAAAACAGAAACAAGAAAAACTTACAAAAAAAGAGTCTTACAAATCTAAATTTATTGTATATTTTTGCTTAAGAGAGTGAACACTAAAAAACTTTTGTGGAGTATTTTCAAAACAGTGCAACTATTCTGTGTGATACTACAATGATAGATACATGTCACCATATATTTGTCCAAATCCCCAGAATGTACTTCACCAAGAGTGAACCCTAGTGTAAACTATGGACTTTAGGTGATGATGATGTGTCAGTGCAGGTGCATCAATTGTAATAAATCTCCCACTCTGAAGGGGGGTTTTCTAATATGGGAGGCCATGCATGTGCAGAAGTAGGAGGTATATGGGGAAATCTCTTTACCTTGCTCTCAATTTTGCTATGAATCTAAAACAGCTCTAAAATGAAGCCTATTTAAAAGAAAAACTTTAAACTGTAAACAAGCTCATACTTAATCTATTTCATAATCATAATAATCATCATCCATGTTGATTCTGAGGCTGGAGTGTTCTTCTGGTTTTGATTTCTTTTTGGACTCTTTGTTTTTCTCGGTCAGATGTAAATGATGCTCACATTGCCTCATGATCTTCTTGGAGGACATCCAGCTCTCCCCTTGCCGTTCAGCGGGTGCAGCACATTGTCCTCCCCTCACATCTGTGCCCTTGGCCTTCAGGATCTCCCTCGCTCTTATGAGACTGCAGGTGCAATTCCATGGATTTCCATCCAGATACAGATGTCTGAGGCGAGGCAAACCCTCCAAGACCTTGAGGTCTAGGGCAGAAATCTTGTTGTTCCTAAGGTTTAGAACCTGAAGCTGCTTTAGATCCTTGAGCTCCCTCTCAGCAATATCCTGGATGGCATTGCCTTTTAGGTCCAGCCGGGCTAAGGTTCCTGGAAGCCTGCAAAAGCATGGAAATAGGATGGGAGAGGAAGCCATGACCACCATTCCATATCTACTAAAGCAACTCACATTGAGCAGCACCAGCCTTTTCTGGTCCATTGTGTCCTGGCGGAAGCTAGAAAACAAGCTCTGTTTTGAAAAATTCAGTCCTATGTATATAGGTCTTTAACCTTTGGCAGAGGTCTTATTATCTAACCCTTGAGTTTCCTGGTTCCTAGCCAATAAGACTCTTCCATTTCTTTTCTTGTTAAATAGGATCATAAACAAATCGATGAGAAAAAGGTTGCGAACCTTTTACTTGGCAAAGGCCATGAATCCACAATTTATAGGAGAAGTCAAAGCATCGAATAAAAATGTGAAAAAGTGTGGTTCTTCATGAATATAAAGGGCAATGAAAAAATGATGCAATGTTTTATGTATGAAATTAGAGAATGGTTTTGGTTTTGAACTTTGAAATTTATTGCTGCTGAAGGTGTTGTGAGATAAGAACTTAACCTCTATTGGTGGGAGTGTAACTTGGTACCACTTTGGAAATAATTTGGTAACATGTACCAAATTTGCCAAATATCAGACATGCCTTTCAACCTAGGAAATAGTTGAAGAATTAGAGAATTATTAACAAATATGTTTGTCACATATTGAGTTATATTTATGCCAGCAAAAAAAAAAAGGATAGAGACTAATGTCCACTAATATAGAAATTAAGAGATAATAGACTATTTAGGTGACAATAAAAATCATATATTTAAACAATTTTTAAAATACTAATTCTATGAGAAATCTTTCCTAACTATGGCATGAAAATCCAGAAGCTATAAAAGATCAATGAATCAACTACATTAGAAATAATTTTTAAAAGAAAGGGTATATGGTAAAAGACACGCAAAGTCAAAAGATAAAGGATAAAATGGGGGAAATATCTGCACTTTATAATCCAGACATAGAGCTAATTTCCCTAATATGTAAAGGACTCCTAAAAGATGAGAAGAAAAAGTTTTAAAATGAGGCTGAAAAATGGGCAAAAGGCATGAATGGAAGTCCACATACACAAAAAAGCAAAGCCCTTAGATCTTCAACCATATTCAGAATAGGGAAATGAAAAATAAAACCGCACAGATGCCATTTCTCACCTACAAGATTGGAAAAAATCTTAATCCTTAGCATTCTGTGGTTAAAGCTGTAAAGAAACAGACATTCTCATACATAGCTTGGTAGGACACTAAAATGGCATAGCCCCTTTGGAGGAGGATTTAGCAAAGCCTAATGAGATAACTTGTGCATTTACCTGTCCACTGGACAATCTCACTTCTAAGTATATACTCTGAAGATAAGACTTGACAGAGATAGAACAGCACATGTGCACTTATTATGGTATTATTTCTAATAAAAGAGATTGGAAACAACACACTACAACAGTAAAAAACTACTATGCCACCTTAACAAAAGAGAGGGGTTCATCCCTAAGAATTATCATAAAAGGATTTCCAGAAAGTATTGTTAAAGGGAAAAAAAAGCAAGAAGTAGAACAGAATGTATAGTATGTCAGTTTTTGTGTAAGAAGGAAATAAGAATACATGTCCATATATTTGCTTATATTGGGGAAAGATAAGATAACCCAGAAGTGAATAAAAATGGTTACTTTTGGAAATGTTTGCATATGGTTTTAACTTTTGAATCATGTTAATGTTTTACACGTTCACAAAACAAATAAGGTAAAACAAAATCGAGCCCTAAAATTGAACATATACAGAAACAAACATATCTAATTAATCAAATGTTAATGTTAGTACATAATCACATAAAGGAAAAAAAAGTACTCTGACTATATATCCTTAGTGGATATATCTAAGCCTTAGACACTAAGGACCAAAGGATCTGCAAGGAAATTTCTCTCAGCACATTTATTATTCATACTGCTGTTAGTAATGAAATTTTGAAGCCTTTTTAATGAATACTCTAAGATAAAAACAAACAAATAACTATATCCATATCATTAAAAACAAACCAACAGGGGTGCCTAGGTGGCTCAGCAGTTGAGCGTCTGCCTTTGGCCCGGGGCATGATCCTGGAGACCCAGGGTCGAGTCCCGTGTCGGGCTCAACTGCGTCGGGCCTGCTTCTCCCTCGGCCTGTGCCTCTGCCTCTCTCTCTGTGCCTCTCATGAATAAATAAATAAAATCTTAAAAAAAATAAAATAAAAACAAACCAACAATTCATTGTAAAAGATACAAATATAAAATAAGAAAAACCCTCTAATGTTCAATATGAATTGGAGATGTTAATGTGAATTCTTAACTTTAAAAAATATATTTTCTAGTTCCACGTACTGGAAGGATCTAGAAGAATATTACATCCTAATGGCAATGCTACTCCAATAGCATAAACACACTGAGCACTCAGCTCTTAATTTCAGAATTCCAATTTCCCCTTAAAAGAAGCAAGGCTTCTCAGAGAAATGACTGATTCTATGTCTGAGGCAAGGTAAGCTAGCACGTCTGAGCCAGAATGCAATAGCATGTTCAAAGATTAATGAAACATCTGTCAGGATGGCTGCTAGCGAAAATCCAGAAAATAGTAAGTGTTGATGAAGAGGTGGAGAAATTGGAATCCTTGTGTGCTGTTGTGGGGTGGGGGGGGATGTAAAATGGTACAGTCGCTATGAAAAACAGAATGAGGATTCTTCCCCCAAAACTTAAAAATAGAATCACCACATAATCCAGCAATTCCACTTCTGGGTGTGTGTATATATATATATATATATATATATATATATATATATAGAAGAACTGAAAGCATGATTGGTCTCAGAGATCATATTAAATAACGTTATACACTATACATTATATACATACACATTTATAAATTATTATATACGTTGTTCACCTATATTGAATTTACAATAGCTAAAATGTGAAAGCAATCTGAGTGTACGTTGATGGATAAATGGATAAGCAAAATACAATATGTACATACAATGAAATAATTAGCCTTAAAAAGGAAGGAAATTCTGGCTCAGACATGGATAAACCTTGAGGACATTATGCTAAGTGAAAATTACAAAAAAGACAACTACTATAATTCCACTTATATGACATATCTAGAGCAGTCAAATTCTTAGAAACAGAAAGTATAATAGTGGTTGTCAGGGGCTGGGGGAGGGGGAAGTGGGGGGTTGTTTAATGAGCGTGGAGTTTCAGTTTTGCAAAATGAAAAAGTTCCGGAGAAACCAATTGCAAAACAATATGAAGATACTTAACAATACTGCATTGTACAGCTAAAAATGGTTAAGTAAATTTTATGTGTCTTTTACCACAATTTTTTAAAAAGAGAACTACTGGAATCCTGTCTGGTGAACACGGACCAGCTTGGAGGGGTTCCCACTAGGCAAATTTGGAACAATTTGAAAATCAAAAAAGACAAGCAACTTTAAATGATTACAACACACTGAATAAATTAAGATCCCTTGGGTCCATTGTAACACTTGGAAAAAGTGGAAAAGGGAAAGAAAAATGCTCTGTAATGTTAAATAGAAAAAAGAGAAAACAAAATGGAATGATCCCAAATACATAAAAACAAATTATGTCTAGACGTAGGCTCTGGTTGAGCAATTATGAATGATTTTTCATTTTTCAGCACAGAGTTTTCAACCTTGAACAAGTATTGCTTTATAATCAGGAAAAACCTTTTTTAAACTGTGGATACCAATTTGAAAAATGTCATATTAAGGCCGATTGATAAAAAAGTAAAAAAAAGAATCACAATTGTGAAACTGAAAATTTCTCTGTTACTCAACTGCTCCGTGTTAAGTGCTATTCTGTTTGTGAAGTATAAGAAGTGGGAAATTTTTATAGAAAAAAAAGGAAGCCCTTGTAATACCATCCAGATCCTATTTTCATAGCGTGTGAATGCACTGAATGTACATTCATGACTTTTAGTATTCAGTGAAATTTATTGTTGTGATCCCAGTCATATGATGATTGTATACTTTATATTTGTATACTAACCTCTACAAGTGCACTTACATTTAAAAGTATTTGTGCTTTGAGTATTTTAAAGTCCTGTTCATTCAAAGTGACATCTCCTTTGGTGGAACAAAATTTACCTTAAAAAGTAGATTAATTTCTGAGGGAAAAATCACTTCATACATTTTAACAGACTGATAGTTAAATTCAATATGAAGTCAGTCCAAAAGATAAGATAATTTTGTGCACATACCAACATACCGGTACATGATTTCCATTAAGTTATTTAGTTTAAAGCTTCTGATTTTCCACTCTATAGATGAAAGTGCCCAGTACACATAAATCACATAATAAAGGTTAACTAATGAAAATGAAAAGCCAGGATCCCTGGGTGGCACAGTGGTTTGGTGCCTGCCTTTGGCCCAGGGCGTGATCCTGGAGACCTGGGATTGAGTCCCACGTCGGGCTCCCGGTGCATGGAGCCTGCTTCTCCCTCTGCCTGTGTCTCTGCCCCTCTCTCTCTCTGTGTGTGACTATCATAAATAAATAAAAATCAAAAAAAAATTTTTAAGAAAATGAAAAGCCAAGTTTTCTTTTAAACAAATACAATGATCAGTTCTAGGCTGCAGAGCCAAAATTTATACCATTCATCCTTCCTTTTTTTCCCTTTCATATATCTGTGGGCGTTATAATCAAAATGACATCGTAAGAGAAATCACCAATGTCCAGATTTGTGGCTTTGATATAATTTGTCTTTATAAGTCTGTTTTACATTAAAAAGTATCCCTGATTTTAAGACAAACATGCTTCTAAAAATGCTATTTGTTCTTCGGGTCTGTTGCTTTTTAGAGTAAAATGGGGTACACTCCATTTTACCAGTAGATGGCACCTGAGTATAAGTAAGATAAATGCTATGCCTCTGTTGGGTTGCAGAAAACTATTCTGGGGCAGCCCCGGTGGCACAGTGGTTTAGCGCCGCCTGCAGCTCAGGGCGTGATCCTGGAGACCCTGGATGCAGTCCCATGTCGGGCTCCCTGCATGGAGCCTGCTTCTCTCTCTGCCTCTCTCTCAGCCTCTCTCTCTCTGTCTCTATGAATAAATAAATAAAATCTTAAAAAAAAAACTATTCTGGGGATCCCTGGGTGGCGCAGCGGTTTGGCGCCTGCCTTTGGCCCAGGGCGCGATCCTGGAGACCCGGGATCGAATCCCACGTCGGGCTCCCGGTGCATGGAGCCTGCTTCTCCCTCTGTCTCTGCCTCTCTCTATCTCTCTGTGACTATCATAAATAAATAAAAATTAAAAAAAAATTAAAAAAAAAAAAAAACTATTCTGGATTTGAATTATCCAAATTGTGGATAAAGAAAAAAACAATGTAACTTTGTTCACTGAGCTAGAGATTGGAAAAATAAGAATGAAACAGCATAAGTGAAACCAAGGTCTTGGGGGTTCTAAGTTTTGAAGGAGTACGGCGCATTGTTCATGGCAGAGTAAATCTCAGGGGCAAGTGACTGCGTGGTGGCTAAAATTCCCTGGCTCTGGAGATAGACTATCATGTTTAATCCTGACTCCTCCGTTTACTGATGATGTGATTTTGAGAAATGTCTTGATACCTCCTAATCTGAATGTTCTAATCCATAAAATAATTGTTAAGAAAATGTGCCTACATTCACAGGATTGTTGTAAGAAGTAATGGGGAATAACACATTTCAATTAGCATATTGAGGCAAAATGCAGTAGATATTTGAACATATGTATACCTAAAGCCATCTACTATTATTTCCTTGGTGAAATGTAGAATGGAAGATGGTAGGCAAAAGAAGGGATTTGTGATTTGTGGTAGGATACACAGCTAGGAACTAGCAACAAGTTAGGTTACATTAGCCAGCAGCAACAGGTTGCCTGTGTTTCTAGTTTATTAATATGAAACTGCATTTTAAAGTACAATTTTGTGTATGAATAAGACTCATGCAAATAAAAGTGTACTGTTTTAAACTCATAAATAAAAGTGTTAAGAGTCAAAAAAAATTTTAAAGTATTGTGTTTTAATGTTTATGGGAAGAAAATCACAGAAAAACTCTCCTGGAAAGTGGGCCATTCCTACTTTCCAATTCAAAGAAAAGCCAGGGAGGGGGAGGGGGACTGATGGGGAATTTAAAAATCACTTTCTACAAGGAACACATTGCTCTCAGAGCTGGCCAAGTTCTTTGACAAAAAAGACACTTGTGCTGCTTAATTGAAGCCTCATAGGAAAAACCCTCATCTCATGTCCCTTATCCCATCGTTCTGGCCCATTACTTCTCGACCCTGGCTGCACATGAAATTCATCTGGGGAGCTTTTTAAAAATACTGATGCCTGGGCACAAATCCTGGAGTGTCTGCTTTAATTGGTTTGAAGTGAAGTCTGGGCATAAGTATGCTCTTTTAAAGGTCTCCAGATAATTGTAATGTGGAGTGAGATTTGAGAATTATGGCTGGCTCAGGCTTGCAATTCTATTATACACTCCATTGGGCAAAAGCATTGTGCTTTCTGTAGTCACTTATTAAGACACGCAAATGCCCTGGCAGGAGTAAATAATTAAGCTACGTTTTACTCATTAAACTTAGCAGGATTACTCAACCAAATGCTTTCTAAAAGCCACCTGAATAGAGAAGTCCACCGCATTCACAATTTTGCCACCTCTCTCACAGCTCCCTGAGAATCCTTGATGATAACAGTCACTCCCCAACCTTTTTTATGAATTTTTATTCTATACATGTTTTTTTTACTTGGAGTAGGGGTGTATAGTGATATAAAAGAAGGCTTGAAACATAGTAGAGAAATTACTGAAATAGCAAGTATTAGAGTCTTGGAACACTGCAGGCATGTTTTTGCCTTACGGCCTTTGTATCGGCTGTTCTGTCTAAAACACTTTCCCCCCGAAACAGCTTCACAGCAAAATCCCTTACCTCCTTCCAGTTTTTGCATAAAGCTTACACTTACATGAGAGTTCTCCATGCTTACCCTATTTAAAATTACAACCAGCCACCCCCACTCTCCTGAACCTGGTAATCCTGCCCTTTTTTGTTGTTGCTAATTATAACACCTAACACCATCTAAATGTTATATACTTACACACATCATGTTTATTATTACTACTTCCCTGCTGGAATTTAAACTGCATAGAACAAGAAGTTTTATTTTTTATTGCACGGGGTATCCCAAGTGCCTGGTAAAGTACATTAATTATATGCACATGCTTATGCATTAGAAGAAATTGGTTAATTTCAAATAACCATCAACATATATTTTAAAATACTGATTTCCATTATTAAAATCACTTTTTCATGTTTTGCATTGGGTGGGGTTACCACACTGTATAATGAAACATCTGTTTTCTTCAACTAGAAAAAATGAACATCTGTACATATCAAAGATAATTTTTCCTTTTCTCATTGATAACAAAATGAAAATAAGTAAATCCAGTGCCATACGATTCTACAGAAGCCAGAAATTGGTATATTAATCATGAGCAATTTGATGATAATCAACAGAGTAAGGTGCCTTTTTTTCTATAAAAAGCACCAAAATGAAAATGAATCCACTGATAGGCATGTAAAATTAACAACACTCTCTAAGAGAATAACAGGGCTTTATTCTTCTGCCATGCTTTAATTTCTCTATTTCATAAATGTAGAACATGGAATAAGGTTTACAAAAAAGGATTAATTAATGTCAACATGAACATTAGCTATAGACTATGACTGGGTGAGGGAACAGGACAGGGGGTCTGGCACAGAGAGAGGGATATTTGGAGAGAGAAATTGTCAGCATATGAGGGTGTGTGTTTGTGTCCACGTGTGTGCATGTGCATGCAATGTATTCATGAGAGAGGCAACCAAAACACAAAGCAAGACCAACCCAAATGGACTCATGTACCCACAGGCAAACATATAGAGAAATAAGCAGAGACAGATTTAAATCCTTTAAAGATCACAACATGAGAAGCATACAAGGTTCCCAAATACATAATTCAAAATAAATTCAAGATTAGACTACAGACTTGTAATTTTTTCCTAACTACTATTTCAACGCTTTTAAAAATATAAATACCTTACCACATTTCCCCTTCATTTCTTTTTCATATCCTAGCTAGGCTAGAGGCTAAGCACGTATGTAGTCTGCCTGTTGTTGGGTCCCAGGCCACATACTTAAAAACCGAAACACTTTTACAAGAAATATCCCCATGTTACATTTCTGAGAAGACTTCACCAAAGCAGCATTGCATACTTTCAAATACAGATCTCACCAGTTGGTGTCTTATCTGCTAGGCAAGATAAATTAAGTTAGTGCATGATTTAGTTAGAGGGCTGGAGATTCCAAAACCCTGCCTAAAACCTCTACCCTTAGCCCTAGGACCCTAGGACAGCCTTAATCAGATCATTTACATTTGCTCTATTTTTCTTGTTTGTATAATGTGCTTAATTGGCCCAATCTTCAGAAAATATTTAAAGCAATCACCATAAATGACAACTCCCCACTCACCTTAAAGGTATAGACAACAGCAGGTTCTGCTCTAGGGCCAGGTTGGAGAGCTGGGAACACATCTGCAAGGCTCCAGCTTCGAACAAGCTAACAACGTTGTTGTCCAGAAATAAGTGTTTCAAGTCTCGGAGGTCCTGAAAGTCTTGGACTGTAACTCTCTGAATCAGATTATTGCTAATATCTAGTTTTTGTAGCCTTGCTGGTAGTCTGAGGGGCAACACTGGAACCTGGTTTTGAGACAACTCAAGAGTAGTTAAATTGGCAAGTATCTGTACCCCATCGATGGAGGAGAGTGAGTTTTCTGACAGATAAAGGTGGGAAAGATTCTCCAAGTGTTTCATATCTCGAAACCTTACCACTTTGAGCTGGTTTCTCTCCATTTTTAAAGAGAGCAGAGACTTGGGCAGATCGATGGGAATCTTAGTCAGGAAGTTACCACTGAAACTGACAAATTGCAGAGACTGGAGGGAAGTAAAGAAGCCAGCTGGTATAAGATGCAGTTTATTATTCTCCATGCTCAGACTTCTCAGGTGAGGGAGTGCCAGTGGTCCAGCTACGGATTCAATATTGTTGCCATCTAACACCAAACTTTGCAAACTCACAAGAGAGGAGAGTGAGCTGGGAGAGAGAGAAGAGATCAGATTGTTTTTAAGTTCAAGGATTTTTAATTTCTTCAGTCCTTCAAAATCAGATCCATGCAGGACATCTATTGAATTATCATTTAGTTTTAACACTTCAAGACTGGCTGGGAGAATACTGGGGACGCGTCTTAACTTATTTTTCCAGAGTTCCAAGGTCTTTAAGGTACTCAGCATTTTGAAAGTGTCATTTTCTACTGACTCCGTTCCACTGGCCAGCAGAATAAAATCTTCTAAAGCCAACATTCTGGTGAAGCTAGACATCTACAAAAAAGGAAGGGATGGGTCATAAGGGGAGAAAAGCAGTAAATTAAGGTTATTGTGAAAAAAAATACATGTTGTTGTTCAATACTAATGATACTTCAGATTTCTCTTCAGGATCTATTTAAATTTATCTCTTGGAAAAGGATGGAGGAGACTCAGGTCCTGACTATTTTTTTCTTTTTTAAAATTTTATTTGTAAGTAATCTCTACACCCAACATGGGACTCAAGATCCCGGGATCAAGAGTCACATGCTCCACTGACTGAGCCAACCTGGTACTCCAGGTCCTATTTTTAATTTATGACTGCTCACAGTGTAAGATATCAAGAATATGTTAAGCACTTTTACCTATTATTGGTGGCTATAATAATAGCCAACTTTTGCTGCATATTCTCTCTCTCCCAGCAAGTTTATTTCCAGACGGAAGCACTTACAAGTTGCACAATGATTTATGCAATAGGATGTTCTTTGTGGCATCATCTTATAATAGCCCAGAATGGGAACAACCTGGAAATCTTTCACCAAACTATTAGCAGTTGCTAATTCTACAGTGTAAAACTACAAGAGATCTTCACTGTCTTCATTTTGTATTGTTTAGATTTCTTAAGTTATAAATTACATTTTTAAAAACTGTAAGCATTAAAAGTCAAAAAGTCAAAACCAGACACTGCTATCACCAGGATGGGCCTATCAGATAAACATTTTCAACTATGTTATGGTTTGAAAAACTAGCCTAGGCTCCCTATTCCCTATCCCTCAATTTGTGCCTCACTGGTGAAAAAGATCCATGAAGTAATAGGACACATGTGTCTCCATCTCTGTAGAGCAAAAATTCCATTCGTGCATATAACCCAGATCTAATGCTACTCCTTTCCTAGATTTTAGAAATGATCAGATCTGATATTCTTTCTCCACGGGTTGCAAGTTCAAGCACCCCTATCTTTCCACATATCTGTGAACCTCCTACCTCACAATATACATGTTCTCTAGGATGATGTAATCCTTAGTATTTGGCTCCTAGAGTAAGATCATCTCTGGGCAGAAAGAGAAATTGCCCCAGGTTTCCTTTAGCTTGATAAAAACTCACAACATTTTCAACCTGCTTTAGAACTCAATTGAGATAAAATTTTCAATGCACAATTTTATGTCTTACTATCTACAGTGTTTAAATGTTTGATTTAATTATGCATGTTGAGCCCTTTTGTAATACCAACCCACTCAAAGTGGGTTAATTTGGCACCACATACTTCTTATAGGCATTTCTATCCTAGGAGGACATAGGATGTGAATTACAGTATATTTTAAAGCTTTTTTGTTATGATACTGTTAGAAGAATCTCAGGTTACAATTTCCATAAACAAATGTTTTTATTCATAACAGTTTTGGCAGCTGCCTTGGTTTGTGTACTGCTGCTAACATGTGATATTTTCTTAATAATTAATCAGATATATTAACTAATCCTAGTTCCAAAATAGCAATTTTTCTTGCACTTCTTGAATATCTACAAGTCCCAAGTGCTTTTTTTATATTGCTAAAAAAGAAAAGCACAAGCCCCAAATGAAGTCATTTGCCCCCACTCATGATAGCAAACTAAGACTTAATTACAGTTTTAACCTCTTAGAAGTCAATCTGAAAAAAAAAAAAAAAAGAAGTCAATCTGAAAATTTCTGATCAGCATTAGTGATATAATCATCATGATTAAAACCCTGCCTGGGATGCCTGGGTGGCTCAGTGGTTGAGCATCTGCCTTTGGCTCAGGTCATGATCCCAGGGTCCTGGGATGGAGCCCCACAAGGGAGCCTGCTTCTCCCTCTGCCTATGTCTCTACCTCTGTCTCTCATGAATAAATAAAAATAAAATCTTTTTAAAAAATCATTGTAATTTAAAAAGAGGTAAGGGTTGTCATAGATTAAATGGATTGTTTTAAACTATTTCTGGGGATAGGTTCACTTTATCATAAGCTTCATATTGTTCAAAAAGAGTACATATTATTCAAATATTTGTTTTCCTTTCGTGATTATTTTGTTTCAAAGACTATAAAAGCCTATAGGTTTTGAGCTTTAGGTTTTTGTTTTGTTTTGTTTTTACTAAGAAGGACTTTCTAGGCAAGACTTATCTCTTTTTAAAGATTTTTATTTATTTGAGATAAAGCGCGTACATGCTCTTGCACAATGGGGGGTATGGACAGAGGGCGATCCTGAGATCATTACAAGCCAAGTTCCTTTTGGGAAGAAGGGAAAGGCAGGGCTTTTTTGTTTTGTTTAGTTGTTTTGTTTTGTTGTTTGTTTTAAGAATGAATTTATTTCTTCATGAGAGACACACAGAGAGAGGCAGAGACATAGTCAGAGGGAGAAGCAGGCTCCCTGTGGGGACCCCAATGTGGGACTGAATCCCAGGACCCCGGGATCATGACCTGAGCCAAAGGCAGATGCTCAGCCACTGAGCCACCCAGGTGCTCACTAATTTTTCTAATAACCCTGCAAGTTTACTATTATCAAACTTCGCGCCCCATGTTGGGTGCAGTGATAACTTAAAAACAAAATCTTAAAAACATGGCTACCATTTTCTAAGTATTCACCATGTTTATCTTTATAAAGTCCTGTGTGTAAACATAATTATTCCCTTCTCAGAAAGGGAGGCTAAGGCTTGAGAAGGTAAAATAATTGGGCCAAGTATATCTTACTAGCAAGTGGAGAAGCTGAGCTTCCAGCTCAGATTGATCTTATCCCAACACACATATTTTTATCCTAACCTTATTGCAATGACATGCATTTAGCAGAAGAATATAGAATTCTGGCACCACAAACAGTGGGGAGGATACTCACTGATTTCCAACTTTACAGTTGAATTTATGGAGCTGACAAAGGAAAATAACTCTGCTGGACCAGTTTTTCCATTTCCCTGGACTAAGCTGAGCTGTGCTCAAGAGATATAGAAAGAGATGCTCTTGCCCTCCAGCTAACCTTAAGGCTGCTGTGAGTTTTTTCAATGTTGCTCAAAAAGCAAGGCAAGTATGGCTTGCTGTTAATGATTAGGTTAGAAAGTTTAGCCAAATATAATTCCTGCCATACATTTTTAGAGTTTAGTGAACCTAATATATATGTAGATAAAAGTTACAACAAAATATGAAAAATGAAGAAAAAAAAAGCAGGGCAAATAAATGAGGTAGAGCAGAGAAGCAAGGCCTGCTGGCTTCCCCCATGAAAGGCTTTGTTTCTAATTTCTTTTGGGTAGGCCCTGATGCAAGCATTAGAGGGCCACAGACCTTTCTTGGGCTCCTTATAAGTCCAATGTATACAGGAAACTGAAATACCCTCAGAGTTACAGCCTCAGGCTTGTGTGCACCAAGCCAGTAAGGAGTCTGTAAAACAATGTTGGAACTTTTTTTTCTGATCATCAATACTTATTCTCTGTAAACAATTTTAAAATTCTGACAAGTATGGAGAGCATATAAAAATAATCCATAATCCCTCCACTTGGTGATCAATTCTGTTTAATCTTGAAGTAGTTTCTCTCCTTCCCCAAAAGTTGTAAAGCGCAATCATTTTAATTGACTGCCATCATAAAGACACTCCTATTTGCCCTCTAAATGTAAGAGCCCAAACTGTAAAACTCTTAGAAGAAAATACAGACATAAATTTTTGCGGCCTTGGGTTTGGTAAAAGTTATCTTAGATATGACACCAAAAGCAAAAATGACACAAAGAAGAGTAAATGGGACTTACTCAAAATTAAAAACTTCTGCGCTTCGAAGGACACCATTAAGAAAATGAACAACAACAATCAACCGTAGAAAGAGAGAAAATTCTCCCAAATAATATATCTGATAGGAGATTTGTATATATATACAACCCAATTAAAAAAATGGGCAAAAGCAATGTCCACAATAGCCAAACTGTGGAAGGAGCCTCGGTGCCCATCGAAAGATGAATGGATAAAGAAGATGTGGTTTATGTATACAATGGAATATTACTCAGCCATTAGAAATGACAAATACCCACCATTTGCTTCAACGTGGATGGAACTGGAGGGTATTATGCTGAGTGAAATAAGTCAATCAGAGAAGGACAAACATTATATGTTCTCATTTATTTGGGGAATATAAATAATAGTGAAAGGGAATAGTAGGGAAGGGAGAAGAAATGGTTAGGTAATATCAGAAAGGGAGACAGAACATAAAGACTCCTAACTCTGGGAAATGAACTAGGGGTGGTGGAAGGGGAGGAGGGCGGGGGGTGGGGGTGAATGGGTGACAGGCACTGAGGGGGGCACTTGACGGGATGAGCACTGGGTGTGATTCTGTATGTTGGCAAATTGAACACCAATAAAAAATAAATTTATTTTAAAAATAAATAAATAAATAAATATTTAGTACTATAAAAAAATGTGCAAAGCATTCATACATTTCCCCCCAAAGAAGATACACCAATGGTCAGTTAGCACACGAAAAAGAGCTCAACATAGTAATATGAAAGTCAAACCATAGTGAGATACTAACAGACACTAGGATGGTTATGATCCAAAAAAAGGATAAGAAATGTTTGCAAGCATGTGGAGAAACTGGAAGTGTCATATATTATTCTAGGGATGGAAAACAATGGAGCCATTTTGGAAAACAGTCTGGCAGTTCCTCAAAATATTAAACATAGTTACCCTATTACGCAGAGATCCCACTCTTAGGTATATACCCAAAACAGATGAAAATATATGTCCACACAGAAACTTGTACATGAATGTTCTTTGGAACATAATAGCCAAAAAGAGGAAAAAACCCAAGTGTTCATCAACTGATGAATGGATAAACAAAATGTAGTATATACATACAATGGGATATTATTTAGTCTTTAAAAGGAAGGAAATTTGGACCTATGCTACAACATGGATGAAACGTGAGGGCATTATTTTAAGTGAAAGAAGCCAGTGACAAGAGATCACAGGTTTAGGGGAAAAGATTGACTTCAGGTTAGGGCATGGTATTTTGAGATCATATACATATGTGAAGAGTTCCAGTAGGCAGCTGGATAAGTCTGAAACATGGGGGAAAGGCATGAATTAGAAACTCAGTTATGGGAGCCATCATTACTTATATAAAGTGAAGTCACCTAAGGAGAGTGTACATAGTAAAAAATGGAATGGCTAAAGACTGAGTCTCCCTGGAGAAGCCAAAAAAATAACGGGCAGTAGAGGAAAAGAAACCTTCCAAAATGGCAGAAAAGAACTACCAGAAAAGAATAATAAGGACATAAAAGTATGGTGTCATGGAAGGCAAAAGAAGAATTTCAAGAAATAGGAGTGAACCAGTGTCCTAGAGAGAAGTTGTGTTTTGTTTTGTTTTTTTTTAAGATTTTATTTATTTATTCATGAGAGACACACAGAGAGAGGCAGAGACACAGGCAGAGGGAGAAGCAGACTCCTCCTAGGGAGTCCAATGTGGGACTCGATCCCAGGACCCCAGTATCATGCCCTGAGCTGAAGACAGATGCTCAAACACTGAGCCACCCAGGTGCCCCGAGAGAAGTTTTTTAACTGTATGGAGTAGATAGAAGCCAGACAGTGGTAAATTAAAGAATAGATAGGAGGTAAAGAAGTAGAAACAGTAAATATAGATTACCCTTTTACAGCGTTTTGCAAATAGAGATAGTAGCAAGAAGAGACACAGAGTTAAAATTATTTTATTTTAAAGATTTATTTATTTACTTTAGAGACAGACAGACAGAGAGAATACCAGTATGGGGGATGGAGATAGAGGGAGAGAGAATTTCAAGCAGACACTCCCCACTGAGTGCAGGCCCCGAGGCAAGGCTCAGTCCCATGACCCTGAGATCATGACCTGAGCTGAAATGAAGAATCAGATGCTCAACTGACTAAACCCCCAAGTGCCCCCAAATAATTTTATTTTTATTGTAATGAAAGGAGCCTATGTATAGGCTAGGACAGGGCACTAGTAAAGAAAGAGCAACTGAAGATATGGGTGTAAGGAGAATGAAGCAGCAAGCTCGAGGGAGAGGTGTGGAAAGTGGACTCCAGCGCCTGAGTAGGAGGCTGCCTTGAGCAGAAAGAGGGAGATCTCATCCTCTCTGTCTGGAGGAAAGAGTTTGCAGAATTGAATGGATGTAAGCTAGTACACAGGGAGTAGGAGTTGAGGGAGATCAAGACTAATGGCCTCAGTTTTGTCAGATTAGTCAAGAAAATGGGAGGCCAACCATGGGTGAGAATGAGGATGGCAGAGATTGAGAAGACAACCCAAACTGTACTGAAGTTTTGGAAGACATTGAGGGAATATAGGAAAACCTGGCCAAGAAGAATTGAAAGGACAGATGAGTGACAATGAAGACCCAGATGAAGTCAGAGACCTTAGTATGATCGTCTCCAGCAGCACCCGGCTATCCAGGTACAAGAAAAACATGAGAAAATGATCCCCTAAACTGAGACTTTGCTGCATAGGTGTTAAAATTAATTTTAGGATTCAAAAAAGGAAAAGATGGGAAAGAAGATGGATAAGAAATAAACTAATTATCTGAGGAAAACATGGGTAGATGTAGGGTTAGAAATTTCCATGAGTTGGCAAGAGAAGTACAGAGTATGGCAGCTGAAAGCAAAGAAAATAATGACCAGAGAGTGGAGGATTTCAAGGTTTCTGAGTGGAGGAGTTTCAGGTGTAATGATTATGATATCACCAAGTAGGCGGCTGTGGTGAAGTGGAAACACAGATGAATACTTTCTTATGAGCTCAAGGAATAGTGAGGCTAGGGCCCTGATGGCACCAAGATGCAGGATTCAGGATGGAGAGCAAGACAGGAGGGAAGGGGCTGAAGCACAGTGTGAGACAAAAGAAGAAGCAAGGAATGTTACAGCCCAATGGCATGCATCTCAAACAGGAAGTTTTACAGATGAATGGATAAATAAAGACACTCGTCTGTTGAGGGCAGGAACGGTGAATTTTTCAACCTTTATCCCTAGTCTTAAACACAGCATTCACAGTCCCAAACATAAATTATATTAATAAGTAATAAACATTTTTAGGGATGCCTTGGTGGCTCAGTGGCTGAACATCTGCCTTCAGCTCAGGGTGTGATCCTGGGGTCCCAGGATAGCGTCCCACGTTGGGCTCCCTGCATAGAGCCTGCTTCTCCCTCTGCCTATGTCTCTGCCAATCTCTCTCTCTCTCTCATGAATAAATAAATAAAACTTTTAAAAACCCAAAACATTTTTATTGTAATATATATACATGCATTCATATATGGTGTGTGCATATATATACATATATACATACATATGTGTATATACATACATAGAAAATTTCTATTGCTATTAATCTGAAGGTGTTTCTAAGGTATTTTTTCCTTGAAATACAGGCACCTGATTCCGTAGTTCAAACCAAATAGACAGAATATACATCGTATTCACCAAATACAGCTAAAAAATGGTCATTTAAAACCTAAGGGTTTTTAAAAGAGATGTATTATTGCTTAGAGCTTTTTATCTCCTTCAGAAGACAATCCTGTCTTTTATCAATATCTCAACCAGAATCTGTCCTTCCAGGAGACAATTAACTGGGTTAAAGTCAGGGAAGTGGCAATATTGCCATTCAGTGAGCGTAAACCAATGACAAATGCACTCACTCAACAACTGAATTTGATGAAAGGTATAATTTCATCTTATTGGCTCTGTAGGATCATTATCAGACTTAGTTGACACTTCAGGTCTTGGCATCTCAGGCGCTCGGAACAAATATTTAAGCATCTTGCCCTTTAACCAGCTGTCCTGCTTGAGTGCTGAGACCTGACAGGGTCAGACTTGCTCTCTGGCATTAGGAGCTACTAGACCACAAGAGGAGAGTAAACATGTCGACTAGGGGATTTTGCTTATTGAGCCTTGAAATAAATACCACGCCACATACTTTAAACTCTCCAGGTGTAGGCACACCTACATGAACATTTCTTAACCAAATTAAAGGGGATGGTGTCTGTATTTGAAGGGAAAGTACATCCACCTGCTGAATCTCCACACTTCCATCACAGAGATGTACTTCCTTATCTTGGGATTTGGATCTAGGAGGGAAGAGCAGTGACTAGTAAAGACAAAATCAGAGAGCCATAGAATTTTCCACATAAAAGGAGCCTGGGATCACCAATCTAACCCAACCTTCTTACTTCACAAAGGTTAAAAAGTGAAGCCCAGAGATCTTTTTTAACTGCTTGTTTAAGATGATTATATCTCTAGGTAGGGAGAAAACTAGGATAAGAACCCTTGTCTCTCCATACCTTTCAAAATATCAAAGGCCAAAAACAAGAGTTCCTTCATATTACAAAAGTCAGACAAATCTATAGAACTCTTTGCAGCATGCTGAATAGGTAGGCATAAATATACAGTCAGAATTAAAAGTTCATAGAACAAGTACTGCAATAACCTGCCAAAACAGAAACATGTATTTCCTCTGTAGTTGTTTCCACAAAGCCCCTGTTATCTGGCAGGTATGTAGGGTCTGTTATAAATAATTTTATATGCTTGGATTCATCTTGATAGTCTTATAATGCCCTAAGGTTCATCTGCTTTTATGACACAAACAAAACTAATTTTATCCCCTGAAAGCACTCATTCTTAATCCTGGAAACAGAAAATAGACATTTGCTCTCAAACTCTCTTTGTTATGAAAGAGCCACTTATTTACTTTCACTTTGCAACAACATAATTAAAAAAAAATAAAAACTGAAATAAATTATCATTAATGATATATTCTGATGTTTTTTGACTGTTTCTCTAAAAAGAAATATCCAGAGGCATATACCCATCTCAGCAGTAAAGGGCAAGCAGACAGTTAGTGCAACTGTCCAAACTTGAAAGCCACCACTTTTAAGTTTTAATCGATTAAATCAAATTTCACAACCCCATACTTGCTCTTCACCCTGCCTTAAAGAATAAAATTGTGGTGACTTGACCGTAGAATGGTTACCTGAAGGTGTTGAATTTTGCTGTGGCTAATGTAGAGCTTCTTGGTGGTGGGAGGAAGACTTGATGGCACCTCCGATAGCCTGTAGCATTGCACCGACTGAACGGAATCACAGCTACATCTGCCAGGACAGGTAGGATGGAAACCATAACTAAGAGAAAACAAAACAAAGAAAGCATAAAGCAGATGCATCTTTCAAAATGGGACCTCCCAGGCAGCAGGCAAGTCTTTAGGTGATGTCTTGCTCTTTATACCATGAAATCTGATAATAGAATCTTATGAATGTGTACTCTGTCAATGTAAGAAGACAGGAAAGAAAAAATTCTCAATTTGCCTGGGTTAAAATGTTAGCAACCATTACAAAGGGCTTAAACATTGATAAGCTGCCTTAATATTTGTAGGTGAGCAAAACCCTCTGTTATTTATGGCTTGGAAGGCTAATCTGCAAACACCTCTACTATCTGTAGTTTCCTTGTTTTGTTAAATGTGACACCAGAGAATTAGTGGGAAAAGACAAAGAGCTGTTTTATAGTGGGCTATAAACCTTTGAATTTTCTGTGACCCTGTATTAAAACCATTTTTGTAGGCCTGCAACAGGCAGGTGTTTTCTTCTCCCATTAACCAGTATGGGAAAATGGGCAGGCTTTCTCTTCATTATTGTTGTCCCAGTACCATTTTATTGCTAGATGAAACAATGTGCTACCAAGGAGAGGTTTAGAGCCTCAGATAACTTGTTCAGTTCATCTATCACTTGATCCACCAGCTATCATATTTGGACAATATTTTTGCCATTTGAAAATACTGTTGACTCAGATGAGAATGAGACATCAAAATGGGTCTATTACCTTCATCTATTTGTCATAATGGAAGAAAAGACCTCTAGTTTCTTCAGAGGGACTTGTGGGTTCTGAAACTGGACTGCAGAGAGAAGGCTTCATTTGTCTCAGGCATGCCTTTGTTGAAGCTCTTTTACTTGCTGTGCTCATCCCTGCTGAGGAATTTAAAAGCATTTCAAGCAAAAGATTATATAGAAAAGGTTTCCCCTCCCTGGTGGAAGACCTGAATTTACCCACACTGGTTGGCCTGAGCAGATTGCTCCAAAGAAACCCTTTCTAATATTGAAAAGCTTGTCTGATGTCCTCTTCAACCAACAACTTTGCTGCAGTTTTCATTTTGAAGCCCAAAGTTTCTTTGCTCTGATAATCAGTTTGTTCTATTTCCAGAGTAAGGATTTCCATGTGCTTTTTCTCAAAAGACTTCTCTGCTTCTCTTTTCTGATTTTGTTTTTAACCTCTGTTTTCTTTTCCTGAGATGAAGAATGATAACAAATTTCTTTTTTTTATCAGTATCTTGGTTTTCTACAAACTTTATCATTTATTTCTCTTGCCTCGTAATAGAATTGTTTTTTAAAAAAGTTTTAGAATCTTCAAATAGCAAAGTAATGCTCAATAAAAGAAAATTTGGGAAAAAAGAGCAAGGTGGGGGAAAATAATCAATGTTAGTCTTGTCCCCCAATCAAACATTTTTCCCATTTCTTTCCTCCACCTAGGCTTTGAAAAAAACAAAGAGAAATACTCATGGAACACTTTTTTCCTTCTGTGTCACTAAAAGAGTGAATTCATGGTTACCTAAAAGGAAATGCCTACCAAATCCTATGTTGTTGTCTGCCATCATTGACAGCTAGTTTTTCTGTTCCACAGCATAGAGAGGATTTCCATTTCCTATCCTCTGTTGGTCACCACAGGATATCCTTTTCTTTGAGCCCTGACATTACACTGTTTAATATTTTTTTCTTCCATGGCATTTCTATACCTTGCCTGCAATTTTGGCATTATCTTTGTTACTATTTTATACTGTGAACAGTTTTACTTTATCAGGTTGTAAACATACTCATATACAACTTTATATTCTGCACTTTTTACTACTATATTTTTCATGCTATTTTATATTTTCCATGAATATAAATTTAAATGTCTAATAGTCCATCAAGACTATTGTCCCGGGCAGCCCTGGTGGCTCAATGGTTTAGCTCTGCCTTCGGCCCAGGGTGTGATCCTGGGGACCTGGGATTGAGTTCCACTTCGGGCTCCCTGCATGGAGCCTGCTTCTCCCTCTGCCTGAGTCTCTGCCTCTCTCTCTCTCTCTCTCTCTCTCTCTCTCTCTCTCTCTCTCGGTGTGTGTCTCTCTGAATAAAGAAATAAAACCTTTTAAAAATAGATTATTGTCCCAATTTGATTAACTACTAAGTGTTGGATTTACTACTAAGTATTTCCTGATTTGAACATTACAAATATAAATAATTGGATCATAAAAAGTTTGAAAATGTTTTGGAGAATGAGAGCTCTATGTGTTCTGCAGACCACGCCTACTTATTTAGAGTGGGCTAAAAAGTCTTTAATTTTTTTTCCAGTAGAACACAGTCTTATTGATACCATAAACTGCAGAGAAAGTATAGAACAAAGGTACAGCCTAGATGCTTGAGGGACACACATGTTTTGCTGTACCTGCTCTGGGGGCAACAGGTCCCTCTATATTTATGTTGTGCTAAGAAGCAGCCACAAAAATTGCCACGACTGCTCGGCTTCTGGAATGCTATCTGTAGACTTTTGGATTTTTCACATGTTGATGAAGAGCCATGGGTTTAAAATTCCCTACCTTTGGCTTGTGTTTTTAGGTTTCAAGTTTATGGATCCCTAAGGCTAAGTGTGGACATACTGTTCTTTTCTCTGAAAAGATTTAACAACACGTATCTGACCATTATTACGTGGCTTCTTTGGGCAAGGAGAAACCTAGTACAGAAACATGGGTGTCTTTCTCAAGAATAGAAACTCAAATGACTCACCCACAACTGTTCAGAATAGAGCCCAGAACCTAGGTTTCATCTTTCAGGGCAAGAAAGATTGCAATCTCAAAGAATATGTTTTGATATTTGAATTTGGATTAAATTAGATTTATCCCTTTTGTTTTGATTCTCAAGCCAAGATCCTCCCTATCTTGCTTTCATATGTTCTTTATCTGTATCCCCCCCCTCTCCTTGCCTCCCTTTGCTTGTTCCTTTCTATAACCCAGGGGTCCTCAACCAGGGGCAATTTGGCAATTTCTGGAGACATTTTTTATGACAATAAAAGGTAGTTGTGATGGGGAGAGGATAGGCAGTAACAAGGGCATCTAGAGAGTAATGGTCAAGGATGCTACTAAACACTCTACATAAAATGTAGAAGATAGCCCCACAACAAAGAGCTATGAAGTCCCAAATGTCAACAGTGCCATTAAGAAACCCCACAATAAATACAAATGTGAGTCTCAGTGTAGTAGAAATATGCCTTCTTTGATTTATAAAAAGGAAAGGGCTAGTTCCCATTATAGACAGAAAACTGAATTCTAGAGAATAAACTGACTAACCCAAGTTTTCCCTGAAGTGAGTCTGTAAGCATTGGCTTATGATTTCTATTATAAAACTGATCAACCAAGAGCTAAATAGAAAGCTTTGATTTATGAAAACCTCCTTTTAGGTAAAAGAAAAGAGATTTTAAAGAATAAAAAATTATGGGGTCCCTGGGTGGCTCAGTGGGTTAAGTGTCTGCCTTTGGCTCAGGTCATGATGCCGGTATCCTCAGATCAAGTCCTGCATCCAGTTCCCACAGGGATCCTGCTTCTCCCTCTGCCTGTGTCTCTGCCTCTTTCTCTGTGTATCTTTCATGAATAAATAAATAAAATCTTTTTTAAAAAAAGAAAAGAAAAAGGGGCAGCCTGGGTGGCTCAGCAGTTTAGCGCCGCCTTCAGCCCAGGGTGTGACCCTGGAGACCCGGGACTGAGTCCCACGTCAGGCTCCCTGCATGGAGCCTGCTTCTCCCTCTTGCCTCAGTCTCTCTGACTCATTCTCTCTCTCTCTCTCTCTCTCTCTCTCTCTCTCTCTCTCTCTCTCTCATGAAAATAAATAAAATCTTAAAAAAATAAAAATAAATGACTGAAAATTGGGTAACACACACAATTGTGAAAACCTAGAGAACCAGATTTGGAAATGGCAAAAATAAAAGTAAGCCTATATAGCCAGAATCACAGGTAAAAATCACACTTCAGTCTAGTATCACCAAAGAACTTGGATGCCCTGGCCTCCACCGATTAATCAGAAATTGTGTATCACTGCTGGCCCTCACTGCTACTAAAAAAGGGATGTTGCTACTCCCAGTCCCATCTCTGCTCCCTGCCAAGAAGAATTGTCCCAATCCTCATCTTACAGTCTCCAAAGTAAAAATTCCAGGTGGATTATTTTGGTTAGCTGACCCCAGAGCATGCTCCAGCTGTGTCACAGAGCTGGGAGACTGTGCTTTTCTGACAATTTCAGTTCATTATGGGAAGAAGACTCTGTTTGCCATATTCAAGTTACAAAGGGTAGGGAATTCCCTAAACAGAGGAATGGAACTCAAATATGGGCAGTCCTCCACTTTTAGTGACAAATATCTACTATACAAGTCTTTTCATCCTCACTCCCCCTGCTTACCATGGCCACAAGAGCCAAAGGAGTTTTAAGTGAGTTACAATCAAATGGGGCCAAACGAATTCCACTTCCAACAACTCTTGTGACATGGCTTTTGTATAATTGTTTCTCTACGCTCTTCTGATTGGTTTATTTGGAAGACTATAAGAATTCTAAAGGAGATAATTTAGGGTATTCTTATACTTTTTAATCTAAGAGCAAAAAAAAAGATAACTAATGTTATCTTAAACAGTGTTCAGAATGCAATTGTTTGGGGCCGCTTGCAGAATCAATATGTAAGAAACATAAATGATAGGGGCTCATGAGTGGGAGTCTATGTTTGATCTGTAAAGTCTGACAATCTAAAAAATAAACAGTGACTTGACAGTGGATGAAAGAGGAAGAATCAATGATTAGTAAACTCTGATACCATTGTTGATAAATGGTGGTTTTAGATAATGCTGAATCAAATCTGGAGCTGTGGGAAAGGGTAAATAAAGAATGTAAATCAAATAACAGGTGGAAAGGCAGTTGTAGTTGGTCTTTGAGAATGTAACAAAAAAAATAGTAATAGAGATTTTGAAAATTGTTTTTTGTTATGTTTTGTCTTTAGGTTTGGGCACACCACACAAAAATGTAGTAGCCAATACATTTTAACTATGGAATAGGTAAAAGAATTCTCAAAGCTTAAGTTATACTGGGTGCATTAGTCAAATCAACCAGATCATTGTTAAATAAATCTTTTATTTAGGTTGACAAAAAATATTTCTTGGATTTTAAAGGCAAACATGTATTTTCTAGATATTCCTAACTCCTGAGCCAATACAAAAATAGTTTATGGCTCTCTGGCAGCCATCAAAGGTATGTCTTGAAAAGTGACAATTTTTTTTCCTAAGTACACTGTGCTACATCTTAATTATTAAACTGATTCCACAAATACTTACATCATTCCTACCATATTCTATGTTCTGTTTTAGGAACTGGAATTCAAAAATAAGTAAGATACAGATATCACTACAAGGAGCTCACAGTCTAAGGGGCTCCAAAAAAATATGATGAATGCTGTGCTGTAGCAGGTATTTGCAGGAAACTAAATGGTTGATGGTATCTCTATAGCTCTACTTCAGAAGAAAAAAGGAAGGTTCCCTGAAAGAGGAGTCTGAGCTAATCCTAAATCACTGCACCAAAATTCTCAACTTTTAAGAAGAGGGCAAACAGTCATATATAAATATAAATATATATATATTTATAAATATATATATATAATAATAAATGATCAGAAGGAGAATAAACCTCAGAAATCACTTTGGGATGCCTGGATTTACTTCTCCAACATGCCTATCTTGAAATTTCATAGTTAGTAAATGTGAATAAATATAACTTAAATAATATGTATGAACATGTATGAACTTGATATTCCAAAACTTTATCCACATTGTTCAAGTAAAATGGTAGTGGATTTTGCTTGTTTTTTTCATCATAACAACTGTTTTTAGCACCCAACATTAATATTTTATCTTTTCTGTTTTATCAGTGGGGTTACTAGAGAGTAAATGAAATCTGCAAAGCTTAGTACAGGGTCTGGCACACAGTAGAGTTCAATAAATGGCAGTCTCCTTCTCCAGTCCAGAGTGGATCTTCTATGGCCATTCAATTACAGAGCCTTTGCAACTGAAGATGCTCTCTAAGTGTTTGAATTCTACAGTACTTCACAGCTTAAGTGCCAGTGCTCACCCAAGAAATCCTTAACACCTTCTCTTTTTCCCAGTTTTCTCAGTCCCCACCCTATTTATTCTTAGAATACCTTGTGGCAAAACTCTGGGGGGATAAGTTCCTAAAACAAAGCTGTCTCATTTAAGTTGTATTAGAAATTTTTAATCACATAAACATGGTTCATGAAACAGCAACTGGAAGTTTCTGCCAATGCAATTGCAAATAGAAGTATCAACATTTTATTATCTCTAGGAAAATAAATCCCACAGGAATTGAGATTACATACAATTCCAAATTCTAGAGTAGGTCAAGAGAAGGTAATTAAAAATAAATAAATAGATAGATAGATAGATAGATAAATAAATAAATAAATAAATAAATAAATAAATAAATAAATAAATTTAGTCAATGGGGGAAGAAAGGCAATACATGTAGACAATGCATATGGACAACAGATGGCAGCACTAGAATGTCAAACCCTACTTTTCCCTTCCATATTAGGTTGTGACTTGCAGAAATGCAAATCCCTGGTAGAGGTGGGCCAAAGATAATGTCTACATAAAGGGTCACGAACATTTGAAAGAGTCACATAATACCAAGATAACAAGCACACAGAGACGTGGCAGCTGCTGCATAGTGGGATAATGAGAAGGGACAACATGAGATAAAAAGTATTCTGAGATACAGGGAGTGTGATTTGTGGAAGTTGTAAAGGTTACAAACAGAAATGGCACTGGGTTCTACAATCCTGAAAATGGGGTATTCACCGAGGATCAGAGAACTGGAAGCATAAACACTTAACATGCATTTCAGCTGTACCCACACAGTATGGTAGGAAGTTGAATGATACTTCTTTTTAAAGAAATTGAATTTATTTTCTAGCCCATATAAACTAAAGAGAGTGATAACAGAAAATGAGTATCATATATATATTATTATAATTACTTTTTTGGTAATATTCCTTACATATTCACAGATTTGTATGTCTTATAACTGGTAATAAATTATCTTTTTTTTTTTTTTAGAAAAACTTTTGGACAGGTGGTTCAGTCAGTTAGGCACGAACTCTTGATTTTGTCTTGGGTCATGATCTCAGGGTCCTGAAATCCGGCTCCACTAGGTCTGTGGTGGAGTGGAGCCTGCTTAGGATTCTCTCTCTCCCTCTGCCCTTCCTGTCTCTCAAAAAAGAAAGAAAAAGGAGGGAGGGAGGGAGGGAAGGAAGGAAGGAAGGAAGGAAGGAAGGAAGGAAGGAAGGAAGGAAGGAAGGAAGGAAAGAAAAAGAAAGAAAGAAAGAAAGAAAGAAAGAAAGAAAGAAAGAAAGAAAGAAAGAAAGAAAGAAAGAAAGAAAGAAAAAACAAGGAAGGAAGCAAAGCAAAACCTTTTGGACTGATTTGCCAATTTATCATGCGGTAACTTATATAAAAAGAAATGGTTTCCCTCATCCTTCTATATTCCAGGGTCAATAGCTAAGACTTTGGAGGAAAAAAGGCACCTAGATTGAAATCTCACCTCACTTGATTTTTAGCTATATGACTTTACCAAGATACTCAGGCTCTCTGAATCATCTATTAAAAAGTGATAATAAGCTCCCTCATATGATTTTGTGAGGGTCAAAGAACTAAAGCAAATAGCATAATACTTTACACATAGCATGTTTTCAACTACTGAAAGCTGTTTTAATGTGATTCCATGTATGTGTTCCCCTCTAATTTTAAATTATTTACTTCAAATTCCTGAAAATGCATTGTTAACTATAATATGTACAGAGAAAGTGGCTGAGAACTTGGTAGCTGCAATAATGATGTTCTTGCAAACATTGCAGATGAAAATAAAGTTAACCTGGAATGGAATGAGGGAAGATGCATATTTTAGTTTTATACTATTTCTTGTGTATTAAAACCTATGTCAAGGTGCCTATTTAAGCTCAAGGGAAAGGTCTCATAGTTTTGCTTAGCTGAGTTTGCTGAAGCCAAAGGACTTCTATTGACCTTTGCTAGTGTGCTCTGCAGTACCCAGAAAGCAAACTAGAGCTATGATTTCTTATTCCTCAGTGGCCCTGTGTTGGTGAGGGGTACACAATGCAGGCTTTGGTGGTGATCAACTGGAAGAGTCTGTTCCAGATCACAGGAGTCTATAAGTGGCTAGTAAAATATCCCCTTAGGCAATGCAAGAGAGACAGTTCTCACCAGCCTACTCTAATGTCTGATTTCTCCTTCCCTTTCTAAGACTGGACTACTCTAGAAGTGGAAGGGGGTTGACAGTGAAGAGGGCTAATGGTGAAGAGCAGTTTGTGAACACTCTCAGGGTACCATGAAATTCAAATAATAGTTGTAGCTATGGGGGTTAGACTCACTAGCCTACGAGCTCTGCTTGAGTGAGACTCACATCTCACCTGTGTGTCCCCAAAGCCTCAACAGGGCTCTGCATTCAATATACCCTATGATATTGGGTATATTGCACTGCTGGGTATTTACCCCAAAGATAGAGATGCAGTGAAACGCCAGGACACCTGCACCCCAACGTTTATAGCAGCAATGTCCACAATATCCAAACTGTAGATGGAGCCTCGGATGAATGGATAAAAAAGATGTGGTCTATGTACACAATGGAGTATTACTCAGCCATTAGAAACGACAAATACCCACCATTTGCTTTGACATGGATGGACCTGGAAGGTATGACGCTGAGTGAAGTCAATTGGAGAAGGACAGACATTATATGGTTTCACTCATTGGAGGAATATAAGAAATAGTGAAAGAGATTATAGGGGAAAGGAGGGAAAATGAGTGGGAAATATCAGAGAGGCAGACAAACCATGAGAGACTCCTAACTCTGGGAAACCAACAAGGGGTGGTGGAAAGGGAGATGGGGGTGGGGGGACGGGGTGACTGGGTGATGGGCACTGAGGGGGGGCACTTGATGGGATGAGCACTGGGTGATATGCTGTATGTTGGCAAATCGAACTCCAATAAAAAATATTGGAAACTCAGTATTTTTAACCCAAACTCAAAAACTCAAACTCAAAAATATATATCTAAAATATATATATATATTTATCAATACATGAATCTTCATAGTTTTGTTTTTATGAAACGCCACTGTGGGAACAATTTTAAAAACAGTTTCCTTGGAAATGCATGGCCTGTGGTGTAATAATAAGGAATACCAAATGCCAAGCAACTTAAGCGAAGCATTCATTTTTACCTTACTACTGCGGGAAGTAGATTTTAGGAAGTAAGGCTTCGAGGTCAAAGGACACAAGGAAAGGGGCCAGCTAACACGTGGCCAGGTGGGACACTAGAACACAGGTCGGCCTGGCTCTGCATCACAAAACCTCTGGTGGGGAATTGGGCAGAACCCGGTCGGCCGCGGCCCTTGCACGAGCAGCTAGCAGCAGGCAGCCCTGCACCCGCAGGGTCGGGCCTGGCTCTGCAAGAAGAGCTCGTCTGCTCACCCGCCTCACCCCTCCACCGGGCGCTCCTGGAAAGGTAAGACGTGGCCACTGCGCATGCCCACACCGCCCTTCCTCACAGTCCCTTCCCTGCCTCGGGACGTCCCCGCAGCAGCTGTCCTGGAAGACTTTAGAACGGCTCCCGCCCACTCTGAAGTCAAGTGGGCGGAAGCCGTTCCTCTCTGCGACGTGGACACCCTTCTCTTCCTCCGGCCTCTGCAGCTCGGAAGCCAACACGATGCCTTCCCGTTCCTCCGGGAATCGAGCGGGATCTTGCCAGTTGTCAATATGGCCGCCGACGGGACGGTGCCCGGCAGAGGCTTTTCATAGGCCGAGGTCGCATCCTAGCCCCGCCCACGTCGTCCCTCCGGGATGCGTCCGCCTAGGGCTTCGCTACGCATGCGCAGCGGGGGCGGGCCGGGAGGTGGGCCGGTCCGGTTCTTCCGTGTGCCGCCGCCGCCGCCACCGCCGCCGCCGTCGCCGCCGCGTTCGCTTGGCTGCTGCTGCCGCTCCGGGGCTGCATTGGCGGCGTTAGCCGCGCGAGGGGAAGGGGGGAGCGGCGGAGCGTGCGTGCGCGGGGGTCCCCGCAGTCCCAGCAGTTCCTCTCGCGCGGGGTGGGCAGTCGGGGGAGGCCCTGGACGGCGCCATGTCGGCGGGCGGCCCGTGCCCGGCCGGAGCCGGAGGGGGCCCCGGGGGCGCCGCCTGCGCCGTGGGGGTCTCCCCCGGCGGGGTATCCATGTTCCGGTGGCTGGAGGTGCTGGAGAAGGAGTTCGACAAGGCCTTCGTGGATGTGGATCTGCTCCTGGGTGAGATCGACCCGGACCAGGCGGACATCACTTACGAGGGGAGACAGAAGATGACCAGCCTGAGTTCCTGCTTTGCGCAGCTCTGCCATAAAGCCCAGACGGTGTCCCAGATCAACCACAAGCTGGAGGTGAGCCGTGGGCCCCGGAGGCGGCGGCATTCAACGCATTTAACGCACCGGTGAAGCGACCCTAGAAAACTACCGCACTGGGGCTGCCTGGGCTTCGGAGGTGGACGGGGGAGCGCGTGTGTATGTGTGTGTGAGGGAAAGGGGGCGAGGTGAGGTTGGAGTAGAAGGAGGGGTGCAGACGCGTGGGTGGCCCGGGGTCCTGCCCCCCCCCGCCCCCCTCCTCTCTCTCTACGGAGGAGGAGGACGCGGGAACTAGTGACACCAGCCTCCTGTACCTGCAGCATTTAACACACCAAAGACTTGAGCTCCAAAGAGTCTCTGTCCTGAGACTGTCTTAGCCCGCTTTGCCCATCGAGTTCTCTTACGGATTTTGCACGTCGACAAACTAGGTTTGTGCATCACCAGACTGAGACGGTGTTGATTGCTTTTTTTAACTGTTTCAGGTCAACCTCTGTTGTTGCAACACATGCCATTCCCTGCATGCATGAGCAATGTAAGGGGATTCCCTCCAAGCTCTTAGGAAGATTTAGTGGGATAAACAGGGTAGTACCGGTGTCCTCCTCTGTTTGCAGCTAGTCTTTAAATTACAGGCAGGTACCGCCAGAGTACCCTGAAATTTTTCAAATGACTTATAACGTTGAGGTTTTGTCTGTCCTTCGCTGTGTTTCCCAGAATCTGGTTTTATTTATGAGAGTGTGTGAAGAATGGTCATTTGCTTTAGTCTCTAATCTTGGGTGTGGGTGTGGGTTGTGGGTGGAGTGGTGGTGGTTCCAAAAAAAAAAAAATCTAAAAAAAAAAATAATAATAATAATCCCCCCCCCAAACCCTGCCACATTGTGCAGGAAGTTAAATTAATGCATTACTATGATATTTAGAAACATGGGAGTTAAACGTTATTACATAAAGAGCATTCTCTAACTGGTTAATTTAAGAGAATGGAGCTTTCATTTTAAAGTAGATAAAAATAGGGTAATCAGTGATGTGCAAAGAAAGCTCTTTGAACATTTGGGTTTCCTAAGAAATCATCGTTGCTATTAGTTATAATGATTGAGAGTACCCGTTGGATTCCAGTCAGTATGAGTACCAGATATATATCCTCTCTAGGACCAGTGTGGTTAGCATTCTTTCTCTTCCCTGTCAGTGAGCCATGAAAAAAGGTGATCTAACTCATCTGCGATTAGCATAGATGCAAATCAGAGATCCTGCTGAAAGAACGGTTCCATTTCTTCCATCCCTTTTGAAAAGGTTGGAATTCAAGTGCTGATACGAAGCTAATCACTTCTTGTTCTAGGTGTATTAAAATTTTCTTGATTAGAGGTTATTTCTAGAAGACAGTTTATTTTTCAGGCAGTGAAAATGCATTTAGCGGTTTTTAGAGAGAGCACTTTAGCTTTAAATAACAGAGCAAGAGTCGCTTTTGCCACATGAGAACTTTCATATCATTTACAACTGCAGGTCTCTACGGAGGATAAACAGCTTTTTAAAAATGAAACAATATCTAACTGAATGACCAAAGGACACTCTCAGTAGTGCTATTTTGCTGTCAGATATAAAATCTAATGTGGAGAAAAGATTATTCTATGAGTAGGAGATGGTGCTCAGTCTTTCTCATCTTTAAATATTTTATATGGGTATTCAGAGCTATAATAAATTATGTATGTTCTTTTTCTCAGAAATTGTAATTACATATTCTGACTCCACATCCTGGCTTAGAAGGTGGCGTTATTTCTCAAAATAAGAAATGCTAGCCTGTCATGATGTGAGCATATTTCTTCAACATGCTTGAAGACCCTTGACTTAAAAGATCTTAGAAAATGGGGAGGGGACATTTTGTTTGTGTGTTTCTTCAGCTACATTTGGCTTATCTGTGCAGCTAATCTTTCTACATTTAGCAGGTTTTACAGTTTTTGTGGAATCGCTTGTGTACTGCTAAGGAGAGAGGGCCATTGTCAGTAGTGCCTTTCAAGGTAGATCTGCTGTTGGATTCTCTGCAGAATTTCAGGGGTTGCCTCATACACTGTTACCAATCATCTGAGATCTTGAAATCTTAGAAGAGATTTCCATACTTTCTAGTTCTTATTTCTTAATAAGTGGATTGAATTAGTTCTATTGTTTTAAGGATATGAACATTAAGATACAACATTTGAGGCCATGTATGGTTTGATATAACGGGTGTGCATTGAATTTCAGTGGTTTTAGAGATTAATACCTTAAACCATATAACCATAATAAAATATTTTTATCAAAACACAAGTACATCCAGTATGGGTAACTTATTGAGTATCTTTGTAGATTGTTCCTTCTTCTGCCCAGTTACTGTGTCTTTAGGTAATACCACGTTAAATATTAATATAGTAGTGAAGAAAACAATTTCAGCTTCAAAAAAATTACAGGTTACATTTTAAAATAAAATACAAATGACATCTATGTGACTGCTGCTTGCCATAAGTTATATTTGGGGAGAGGGGAAGGGGAGGACAAAGAATATCAAAATATATTATTAAGGTAGTGCCATTTCAAATTACTCACGTCTCTTACTTACACTTCCCACCTGCTTGAGAATTTCGGCAATGGTAAGCCACTTGGTGACAGCTATTCTGGAGTCACGGGTACTGAAAGGGATAGTAGTAAGAGGAGTAGTAGTAATATAGTATTAGTGCGTTGGAGTAGAACAAAGATTGAGAACCAATACTTTAGAAAAACCTACCTCTCTACCTGGAAATACAATTTTCTGCCTTTTTACCCCTTCTTTAAAATAACAGCAAAACATTACATCTGTCATATCCTCCTTTCCATCAACAATTGCTGAATCGGTATATCTTTTCAAAGTGATTTACTGTTCACAACCATCAGTGGAGAAACTTTTAACTTTGATCTAGAGACATGTTTATAATGAACTAATGAGGTACTGTTCTTTTACTGCTTTAAAGCTGCCCTGTTTTTATTTTATTTTTAGATTTTGTTTATTTATTTATTCATGAGAGATACAAACAGAAAGAGAGGCAGAGACACAGGCAGAGGGAGAAGCAGGCTCCACGCAGGGAGCCCGACATGGTACTCCATCCCGGGTCTCCAGGATCAGGCCCTGGGCTGAAGGCGGGGCTAAACTGCTGAGCCACCCCGGCTGCCCAGCTGCCCTGTTTTCAAACAAGCAGTGATGGTTAATATTGATTCAGTATGTGTTTATTGAGCACTAATTATGTGCCAGATGCTGTATTGGATATTTGGGATGCAGTGGAGAGCAAAAATGGATATAGTCATTGCTGTTAAAAAGCTTGGATAACTAACTATTGGATAGTTAATTGGGGGTAATTATCACATAAGTGTGAAATTACAACTTTGATGAGTGTTATGAAAGGTACATAAAATGATGAGAGCCTGTTCTGGGGGATCAGGAAGGCTTCCTTTTGGAAGTGACCATTGAGTTAAGACCTAAAGCATAAGTAGGAATTAATTAGGCCACAAGAAATAGGAATATCATTCAGTCTTCCAGTAGAGAGAACAGAAAGTGGAATGTACGTGACAGGCAAGTGCATAATGCACTTGAAGAACTAAAAAGAGATCTGGTATATGTTACATAAGAGTATTGTCAATTGTAATTGTCAATTGGCTGAAGAAGTGATATGCTAGATAAGTTTGAACAGGTAGGTAAGGACAATATCTATCTAAGTGATTTTATTGGCCTTGCAGTAGATCTGGGGACTCTATCATAGCATTGGGAAATGTTGTAAACTAGATGGTAACCTCAGGTATGAGATTAAAATAGCTCACTCAGGCTAGGGTAAGGAGAGAGTTTGGGATAATGAACAGAATAAACGCAGGAAATCATTACGAGGCTCTTATTCTGATCCATATGAGAGGATGATAGTGCAGGCAAAGATAGTGAGATGGAGGGAAGTGAGCAGAACAGGAAAGACTTGAGAAGTAAAAATAAGCAGTCTAGAAATGGATTGGAATGGAAGGATGAGGGAATTTAGGATGTCTGCAAGATGTCAGTTGGCTGGATAGGTAGATGGATGTGAATTATTAACAATAACTATATTTCTAACCTTACCGATCAATTACTAATGGCCAGACTGTTCTCAGGGTTTTGCATATATTGATTCGTCTAATTCTCACAGCAGTCCTGTGTGATAGGTTTAATATTATTATTATTTTTTCATCTTTTATTCAGAATTAAGTAAGGACCCAGGGCTTCAGAACTAGAGAAACCAGTTTCTCCAAAACACACACATTTATGCCTGGTGGGGGGAGGGAGGAGGTGGAGAGAAAAGCAGGCAGAAAGAGTGAATATGGCTGGAGAGATAGCTGGAAGGAGGAGTGTGGAGGTATTGTTATACAGGGAGGTATTGTTATAAAAAACACATTTATAAGCCAATGAAAAGTATCTAGTTGAGAGGAAAGCTGAAAATGCTAGTGAAAGAGAGGGATAATTAGTAAGGTTTCTGAATGAAGAGGAGATCCAAGATACATGTAAAGATAATGGACAGCTTAAGTTGAAAGGACAGCTGTTGTACTTTGAGGTAGAGGGAGACTGAGAGCAGAAGGTGGGAAGTTAAGAGTTTTAGTCTGATGATTTCTTTATATTCTGTAAAACTGAAGCCTAGGACAGCTGCTGAAAGTGGGTGAGAGTAATAAGAGCTGGGAGAAAATAAAAATATTTGAAATAGGTAAGAGTGGGAGAGCCAGCTGGCTGGAGAAATAGAACTGCCAGGCAACCGTTGAAGACTTGCTTGGAGCTAGTTATCATAAATTCATGGTACAACCAGTCTGCCCTGTTGTGTGACTTTCTCCGGTCTTTCTCTTACTTGGTTAGTAACAGACACAGTGATGACAGTAATAATCCAGTGCTGTAGCAAGAAGTTTGCTATGCAGACAGGAGTGTTATTGAAATGAAAATGGTCATGGGGATGAAGAAACGGAGATAACCTTCAATTAAAGAAGTAGAAACAGGATTTGATAATTATGTACGTGCAGAAGGTGTGGAGGAGGAGAGGTTA